TCTAGCAGGGTGCACTGCATGGGTTGCATCAAAGTCCGTCGTAGAGGCGCAACGGTGTCAATTTCGTCGAGTGTGCACTTCATTTCAAACTTTTTGGGGCCCCTTTTTCTAGGAGACTTTGGGGATGTCGGCTCTTCTCCTTTCTTTTCTTCGGCAGTCCTCGCGTCGACCATCGGCTGGTCCTCATCTTTGCCTTTCCTTCCCTCATCCGCAGCGGCACACTGCGCCTCTTCGGACATCTTGTGCACCTTCCTAACCTTCTTCTTGAACTCATGCACGAAGGCCCCGATCGTGGAGAAGTCCTTGTTCATGACCTCCAAGTCTGCCATGGTCAGCAAACCATCCCCCAACCTGTACTTTCTCTGCATCAAGTCCCTGAACCTCGCCCAACTGCCATGGGTTGCTCACCGGCTCGGAGGCCTCGGAACAGACAAGCCACGGGGGAGGAAGTGAGAAGCTCACCTGGGCCACTATTGACAAGGGAGTGGAAGAGGGGAGTTTAGACCAGGTGGAGCAACACCAGGTGCGGCTGCAAAGGCGTAAGAGGAAGGAGAGAGATGCCACCGCATCTGGGACTCCAGGGGTGAAGAAAATTGTTATAAACGTGCTGGCGACACTAGGATATGATAACGAGGCCGAAGTGCAAAAAAGAGGGGTGACCATGGTCCAAGGCCGGGCATCAGGGGCGGCGGATGAGGAGGCAGGGCGCGAGGACTACGGCGGAGAGGAAACGGGCTCCCAGATCTTGACCAAGGCCCAGAGGAAACAGCGTAACTTGCTGACGGGGGCCAAGGATCAGGGAAGGGGCAAGCCCCACAAGCAATCGCCGCGCCACCACCTGCCGCCAGGATGGCGCCAGCGTCGGCAGGGCCATCGCACATGGGGCCGCCGCCAGCTTGTGGGCATTGGATACCGCATTGTCAACTTGCGCCTTAGCCCAATTGTAGCCACTATACCTCGTGTGGAGGGAGTCAAGCCCACGCAGGACAGATGGTCCCCTACTCGGGCCCGTCAGCAAGTATGGGCCCTCCAGGCTTCCCTACGACTCAAGGCCAATTTGTGGCCCAACCGCCGCCCTCCCAACAGGCCTCGCAGGCTAGTGTGGTCGGGGGAGGAAACCAAGGGCAAGGCGGCCAAGGCAACGAAGGCCGAGGCCAAGGGGGTCAAGGAGGCGGTGGCCGGGGTCAAGGGAGGAATGGTGGGGGTCGAATGGTCAGGGGGGCCAGAACCAGGGTGGCCGCGGTGGCCAGGAGGGGGGCTAAGGATATGGGAGGCCCCGTTTTGATTGGCGGAGCGCCACTTGTTGGCACTGTGGCACGGTAGGCCACACCATACGGTTCTGTCAACAGCGGCGGGATGATGAGCTGACAGGGCTAATCTCCTCTTGTATGGACGGGGATATATACGATAAGTGGGGGGAGCATATTGACCCCAAGACCGCGGGAGGGATCAGGCAGGAGGCTCTTAGGCGAGCGGCGGCAGGGAGACCATCACCCCCGGCCATGTTCAGGATGTGGCAGGAGAGAGAAGAGCCGACCATAAGAGTCGAGGAGATTGTGGGGGATAGTGAGGAGGTCACTCAGCGACTAAGGGCAGGGACAATAAGGGAGGAACCAATCGTCGTTGAGTCGGATGACGAGGGGCAGGAAGGCGAGAGAGAGCCGGCCATAGTCATCCTGGGAAGATGGAAGATCTGCTGGAGAAGGTGGGGAGATACCAACGGAAGTTGCAGGCCCTGTGTGAAGAAGCCCGAGAGTGGGAGTTCAACCTGCCTAAGGTTTTGCTTTATGATTCTGGACCTGAGCCTTCGTCAGGACAGCAGGGATGCCCAAGAGTTGCGACCGTGGGGACGGTCCCTAGGTCGCGTATGACCTATAGGCCCCCCACGTCGCAGGCGGCGCGGACTCGGAGCCAGAACAAGGCTGGACCTAGCCAGGAGCCCAGTTAGGCACCCCCTCGAAAGGAGCCTGAGCCAGGGCGTAGGAAGGAGGTGGTGGAGGTTCCGGAAGAAGAGGGAGAGGATGATGACGAAGAGGATGAGAGGCTTCGGCAGGAGGAGGATCGGCGGGCAGAGCTAAGGGTCAGGAAGAGGGGAGCCCAGGAGGAGGCTGAGCCAAGCCTGCCTGACAGTGTGCCTAAGAGGAAGAAGTACGAGGTCCGAATGGAAGAAGGCTTTGACGTAGAGCGGATGGTGGATAGGCTCCTAGAAGGTCATAACGACCTGATGCATTTGAAGGATATCCTAGCATCAGCGTCGAGGCTTCGTGGTGAACTTAAAGGGCGACTCTCGCGAAGGTTGGTGCCCAACGTCCATCTGAGTACAATCCTGCCGAGAGAGGTGGAGTGGACTGAGGCAGGGACAAGGATGGATTGGAAGTGTGTGGCGTGCGGTCAGATGGATCTGATGATAAAGAATCAGAAGTGCCAACTGCAAGGCCGCTTTTTGCGGCACGGCGTCCAACGTGATCATAGAGATAGGGAAAGTGAGGGCGAGGACTTGTTTCTTCGCCATGCCCGATGTCGATCATTCCATCCTTCTGGGGCGGTCGTTCCTGTGCAGGACAGAGATGCTTATCTTCAATAAGCACGACGGGACGATGATCCTACTCCTATGTGACCCGGCGTGCGGGAACTATGAAGTTATCACTTGCTGAAACACGGGGCCGGGGAGCGGAAGGAATAGACCTAATCTCGGCTCGTTCACCTTTGAGGAATCAGAGAACGAGAGAAGGAGGCTTTGGGAAGTGCCCGAGGAGGAAGAAAGGACCGAGGTGCTGACACTGAGCCTTACAGATGTGAATAAGGCCATGGAAGTGGTGTCGGCACATGACAAGGCGGATCCTGAGGCCATAAAAGCGCTGGGGGAGCAGGTTTTGGAGAACCCTCAGGTGGGAGAAGTGGAGTTGGTTTATCGGCTTCCGGGCGGTAGGGGAAGGCCCGGCGATGGCACAGGCACAAACGACGAGCCAACCTTTTTTAGGGGACGGCTTAAGCAGGGCTCCCAAAGGCGGTACAAGACGGTAGATAAGAAGTATCGCCCCGTTCCCGTGCTCGTTACCAAGGACGAGGAAGCCTATTACAAGCGGGAGCGGGGGTTGATACGGCGCATACGTGAGCAAGCGGCCAATGGTCCATGCCGTATCAACAGTGGGACTGAGGAGAAGTTGATAATCGGGGAGCCCGATTTTCTTTCGCCCCAGAAGAGAGCCCTGATGATGGGATTGATGAGGAAAAGGCACCGCGCGTATGCTTTCAATGACGGTCAGCGTGGGAGGTTGGATGTGGACAAGATTCCAATGATCCGGATCCACACATTCCCACATGAACCATGGAATTTGAGAGGCGCACGGTACCCCAATCCGGATGAGGAAAAGATGGTGGTGGACTACCTGGACGGCAAGATGGCACGTTGCCGACTACTTCAGTGGGCCGTACGCTTCGCCCTGGTTTGACTTTATCAAGCCGAATGGGACGTTGCGGTGGGTGTAGGATTTACAACGATTGAATGTTGTGACTGTGCGGGATGCAGGGGGATTGCCAAATGCGGATGCGTTGTCAGAGTCATGCGTGGGGAGACCTATAATTTCGCTTATAGACCTCAATTATGGGTATGACCAGTTTTTCGTGTACCCGCCAGACAGGCCAGTGACGGCGATGCATACGCCCAGAGGGCTGATTCATACGAACGTAGCCCCTCAGGGTTGGACGAATGCAGTGGTGATGGTGTAGAGGCGTATGATTAGGGCCATGCAGACGATTAGTCCACACATCACCCAACCCTATATTGACGACTTGGCGGTCAAGGGCCCGAAAGGAAAGGAGGATGAAGTGATGCCAGGGGTAAGGCGGTTTGTTTGGAGGCATGTCCAAGACCTTGAGCAGGTCCTGAGCTTGTTGGAAAAATACAATCTTACGGCGAGCGGCCCGAAGTCCAAACACTGCATGAGGGAGGCGACCATCCTGGGTTTTGTCTGCAATGAGAGTGGCAGAACACCCGATGTGAAAAAGACAGACAAGATCGTAGAGTGGTCAGTGCCCTTCCGTTCGATAACGGACGTAAGGAGTTTCCTCGGCACTTGCGGATTCTGGAGGAGTTTAGTGAAGAACTTTGCCGCCAAGACTTAGCACCTAAGAAAATTGGTACGTCAGGATCAGGAATGGGTTTGGGGCAGAGACCAAGACGAGGCGGTGAAGTGAATGAAGGCAGAGTTCAAAGAACGAGGTCTGGTGTTTGGGGCGCCGAATTATGAGGTCACTGAGGAGAAGTCGTTTATCATTGAAACGGACGCTGGACCTACTGCGTTGGGAGGAGTCTTGGTTCAGGCGGATGCTGAAGGAAAGGAGAGGCCGCTGAGGTTCGAGAGTCGGACTCTTAATACGCCTGAGAGGAACTACTCTCAGTTTAAAAAGGAGACGCTGGCGGTACTCCATTGTCTAAGGATTTTCTGGAAATACGTCTTTGGCAGGAGGTTCATATTAAGGGTAGACCCTACTGTGCTTGCTAGCTCCCTGAAGAATTATACTCCATATGACCCAATCGTCGCCAGATGGTTGGCGTACATTTAAATGTTCAATTTCGAGTTGGAAAGGATTCTGGGGGACAAGAATAGGGTAGACGGGTTGAGCCGCATCAACAAGGATGGAGCGGATCAGGGGACGATAGAGGATACCCCGCCAGTTGATGGGTTCTTGGACCAAGAAGAGGACGTCCGCGTTCACATAAACGAATGGTCCATGCGAGTACCCAGCTGCGTCAGCCACCCCATATGGCTAGCGCCAAAGGGGTACGAGCAGAAGGAAGAGTTAGTCCTCAAGCCCTTTCAAGAGGAGGATCCGTGGGGGAGCAAGGATGTTGGCTGGATGATGAAGTTGGCGTTGGCAGGCACACACAGTCTGGCAGAGGAGGTGAGGACAATAGAGGAGGGCCCAGCTCAGGTGGAGGAGCATGAGCAGTTAATGGGAGGGATGTATTTGCTCAAGAATACGCTTCTGTAGGGAGACTTTGACGAGAGGAGCTCTTCAGTCCTATGGAAAGCGAGGGCTCCGTCCCTGAGAGCCGGGATGATGAGTTTGAGGAAGGGGAGATCAAGGAGGCCTTTCGTGCAGAAGAGTACGACGGAATCTACCTAGAGTTAGGGTTGCTCCTATCCTGTGAGATGAGGGATAGGGACGCAAGCGCCAAAGCGCAGAAGGTGAGGCACCTCTACGTAGTAAGAGACGACCATTTGTTTATAAAGCGGCAGGTCGGGAACCCCAAAAGGATTGTATATGGGAGGAACCGGCAAATTGATATCATAGCAGCCCTACACGATGGTATAGCAGGTGGGCACAAAGGGATAGGTGCCATGGGTGCCAAGATAAGCGAGTTGTACCATTGGGATCGAAAGCTGACTATGGTCATCAAGTATTGCCAGTCTTGTGTACCTTGCCAAGAGAGGTCAGCGCAAAGGTCAGGAGAGCCCCTGCACCCAAGGCTGGAGAGGGAAGTGGGCGCGGTCGTACACCTGGACCTGTTGTTCATGCTAGTTGGGAAGAACGGATATAATTACATCTTCGACGCACGAGATAACCTTACTGGATTCGTGGACGGTCGGGCTATCCGGACGAAGACTGGTCCAGTCTTGGCAAATTGCATCGAAGAGTATTACCTATGCTACCTTTTCGTCAAAGAGTTCGTGATGGACCGAGGGTCGGAGTTCACTTGCAATGAGGTGCGAACTTTGCTTGCAGGGTATGGCGTAGTGACTAACTATACTATGGCCGTGCATCCTCAAGCGAATGCACCTATGGAGAGGGGGCATAGTACCATCACGAATCTCTTGGCTAAGTGGACGGAGGGCAAGCCTGGTCAGTGGCCGAAGTTCCTGCGAGAGGCTTTCTTCGTAGAAAACGTTACAGTAAAATGGACTACCAAGTACGCGCCAGCCACGCTGTGGTATGGAAGGCATGCCACCTTTCCCATAAAAAGTTTATTAAAGACGTGGAGACGCCAAGACTTGGAAGTGAACCTATCCTTCGAAGAACTGCTCGATATCCGGGCTCGGCAAGTAGGGGTTACTGAGAAGAGGTTGAGAGAGGCTGCTGGTCAGGTAGAGAGCAGCTGCATAGCGGATAAGATGAGATGAGACCAGATGGCACGAGTAAGGAAGGAGCCGTTGGCGGTAGGGGATGTCGTGTTACTGTACGACTCGTCCCTGGAGAAGCAATGGTCGAGAAAGCTCAACAGGAGATGGATGGGGCCCTATAAGATCTTGAGGTGCGGTGAGTTTGGAGCCTATCAGATCGAGGAGTTGGATGGGACAGGATGGCAGGATTGGGTGTCAGGGACCAGGTTGAAGAAGTTCGTGGCCAGGGAATAGGTAAAGAGCTTTACATCTTTTAAAATGAACTAGTCCTTGAGGTGTTGCATGTCGTGGTCAGGTCAAGTAGGAGAGTAGGAAAGGGCATGTGTGTTATCATAAGGTTTGGTGGGTTGATGGCTAACCCTGTTGTGTGCCAACTTGCTTCTCTCGCATGATGTGCAGGCCTGACTTTTCGAAGACAGCCATGCAAAGGGGCGGGAGGGGCGCACGACCACGACAAAGGTCCCTGGGAGCATCAGGAGCGGATGACTCGCGCAGACCGTCTGGGAGACAGTCCACGCCTGTCTTCGATGATGATAACATAGAGCTCTTTCTAGACGCCTACCAGGCTCATGTGGCATGAGAGGGGTGGTCCACCTTGGAGAGGATACGACATCTGAGGGGAGTTGGGCGCTTTGAGGAGCCTATCACGCATATCCGGGGGGATGTTTTGACCTGGCAGGATGTGGAGGCGAGGATGCAAAGGCTGAGAGCTTCGCCGTTGGGACGGGATGGGTTCCCTATTCGATTGGAGGAAGGCAATGCGGAGGAGTTCATCCCGGCCTATGAGCAATATATGCGCGATCAGGGAACTGGACAACAGGAGTGGATGCAGACATTTGCCCCTCTGGACACGGAGGGCGGAGAGGTCACTGGCGAGGCAGATTCGGGATAGGGCGCATGATTGGGAGGACTGCCAGGCACAACTGAGACAGGCATTTCGACGACTGGAGCCCGAGAGAATAGAGCCCAGGGTGGAGAGACGAAAGAGGAGCAAGAGGCCACGGGATCCGGAGGCAAGAGGGGCTACTACGACTAGGGGAGGCCGGAAGGCCTTGGCGCAGCGAATGGGACCAGCGGAACCCACCCAGATGGCGGAGCCAGCTCAACTGGAGGAGCCCGTTCAAATGGGGGAACCAGTTCAGATAGGGGAGTCAGGGCAGGCAGCGGGACCGGCTCAGCCAGCAAGGCTGCCTCCTACCCATGGGCTCGAGCAGGTGGAATTTCAACGGATTACGGGCAACGACTTACGGGGCCCATCGTCGATATTGCCAGAAGAGAAGGGGGCTGTGCCATCAGGAACGCCGCTCGATAGCCTGGAGGCCCATCTCGATGCATCCCAATGAGGGGCGTCGCAGCTAGGAGCGGGTCAGAGTGAGCCCGCACGATATGAGACGGCAGAAGAGTTGCCTGAGCCCGAGCCAGAAGTTGGGCCGCATGGACCAGAGGAGCCGCGGGCTGAGGGGGTTATTACTGTTGGGGATGATACTCCCCCTCCTACCCCGATTCCGGAGCAGACACGACAGCGTTGGCCTCAGGGGATTCCTGAGCCGGACAGCGAGGAGATGTTAGTACCTCCATCGGAAGTTACTACGCCACCCCAGAGGCGGGCCGAACCTGAGGGGCGAGAGGAGGGTGAGAGGGCGAAGACACCGACTACTGTGGCACTACAGCTAGCCGAGCATGGAACTGAGCCCCTAAACATTGAGATGCCGACATCCGAAGAGCCACCACCAGAGTTGCCACCCGCAAAGGGGGGGGGTGGATGCAGGAGTTCCGCTGCGAGGGGCCCATGAGACGCGAGTGGAGAGGCCGTCGAAGGAGACAGCTGAGGAGAAGCGCGCAAGAGTGCGGGTGCGTCTCGAGGAGATATACCAGGAGAAGGTTAGGATGGAGGCCGCAGGGGAAGTGCCGAGACCACCAGTGACCCCCCGTCGACCGAGCAGAGGATCGATGAGACTTGGGCCAGTTATGAGGGTAAGAGGGATGCTGCCCGTTTGAGATCGCGAGAGGCGGGACGGGAGGACGAGAGAGTGGATGAGACACGAGAGACTGGGGACCTGAGATTTTCAGCCACCAGGATGGCAATCGAGCGCACGGACAGGAGGGTGCGCCAGGGGGCGACCACATCCTTCCAACGATACTCCATGCTCAGTGATGAGTTGGTGGCCTTGAAGTTGGAAGTGGAGCAGTTGTCTACCTAGTTAGCGAAAAAGAGGGCAGAGAACCAAGTTTGGAGGTCCCGTATGGAGGCCAAGGAGGCGGGATGGAAGAAGAGGCTCCAGGACATGGCGACGATCGTGGAGAGGCTCTTGGCCACCAAGGTGGTCGACTGGACGGAGCAGAGCTGATATGGTATCCAGGGGAAGGAAGTACAGGGGCTGTTTGGCCAGGGAGGGATGGCAGGGCCATCTCAGCGAGAGGGAATGAAGAAGGTATATCTGGACCCAGCGGAGGTAGAGGCAAGGCGGGAGACCAGAGAGAGGGACTTCAGTTTCAAGGCTCCCACCGAGCTAGCCTCGCAGCAGGTGACCTCTATGGCAGTTGAGACCATTACGGAGGAACCAGCACAGAGACCTCAGCCCCCACTGGTGGAAGGGGAGCCTGTAGAAGAATCCCCTAGGATTCTTTTGGAGGTACAGGGAGGCACCGTTACGGGGGCAGGAACGTCCACTAAGCCTGAGGCGACGGAGGAGGAGGCATCTCGTTTGGATGAGCTAGTGGCGGCCATGGAGCTGGACATGCCGTCAGGGGGGCCTCAGAGACACGAGACCCCGGAGCGTGTGCAGAGATCAGGGAGTTGAGGACACGATTAGGAACCTGGGCTACTGAAGCTGACTCCGGAGAGCACATCTCAGAGAAGCAGCAGGAGGTTATGAGCGAGCCGGTGGTTGCCGTGACTCCCCAGCCCTCAGACCCACATGGGGACGAGAAGGCGGTTGTGATGGAAGGGGTTCGTGAAGGTAGGCCACAGAGATTGGACACTCCGGCGTACTGGCCTGAGGGAGGCGAGATGCAAGTAGGGCCGAGTACCCCGATGGTGGAGGCGAGACCGGCGGAATCATGAAGTATGCCCCAGAGCCATGAGATAAGCAGGGAGGTCTGTGAGACGCCGTCGCTACCAGGGTCCCAGAAGAAGAAGAGAAGGTGTCAGAGGAGAACGGATGATCAGTGCTTCTTCTGTAGGCATGACGTACACAGGGCGCTCGAATGCCCAAAGTTTATCAAGGACAAGGCGGCTGGGAGAGTGACAGAGAGTGGAGGGAAGATGTATGATAGGCAGGGGCGAGTGGTGGAGCGAGCTCCAGATGGGGGTAGGGCGCAACTGTATAGGCAGAACTAGGAGGTCATGAGTGAGTAGGGACTGGGCCGCCTATATGATGGTAGGACTAGGGGTCCTCTGTACGCAGACGTCGGGTTAGGAGTGTATATACTTCGAGTCAGTCGAGTGGAGTCTAGAGGTGTACGATTAAGGAGATGAGATTCAGTTGTGTGATACCTGTGACTATGCGACTCATGCACTAGGTCTTGAGGTTTAAAAACCTTGTTTATAATTTTGAGTGGGTCCTGAGAGCCCGTAACAATTGGGGCGTGAGTTTACCCTGTAGTGTGAAACAGTGAACTGAGTATTTGGGTTATTTCCGAGGCAGACATTCTACTCCTAGATACGTCCTACGAGTTGGGTGTTGAGGGCTTGAGTTGGGTGCTTGTATTGAGACTTGAGGGATATATTTTGCTCTCGAGTACATTTTGATCCCAGACTCTGTGGGACTTACTCTTGTGGCGATCAAGATCACTCTCACACGTGTGGTTCTATCCCAATGTATGATGGCTTTGTGTGAGAGATGTGTGGGATACATCTCATGTCTTCTGTGCTGTGTGAATGTGATGCCGTTTACTCCTCGGTATACTCGTGCGATCTGCCTTTGGGCAGATGAGACGGTCGAGTATAAGAGGGGGCAGTGCGGTTGTTTTGTGACAAATATGTGAGGACCCTAAGAGGTCTTGCAAGCCCATGAGGCTCGAATGCTTACCATGCCGAATGTTTATGGCCGAGTTGTGAAGGGGACCCATAAGTTGGTCCCTCAGCTTGAGTTTGTTTTGTGTCTGAGTTGAAAAGAGGGCCCTTGAGTAGGTCATCAATTGAGTTGTTCTATGGTTGAGACCCCGTCAGATTATGGAAGGTGAAAATGTTGTTTATTGACAGCTATAAAAATCAGGTCGCGTGATAGTCCATCCTGTAAAGAGAGGGGGTGGCTGGGAGATCTGTTGGGAGAGACCTCCTTCGTGTAAAAGGGGGTTGATAGATTTAAAGGCATGGAAAACAATGTTTGAACTGATAAAGTCTGACGAGAGAAACCAGAATTACGGTTCGGATTATTGATGAAACTGAGAAGGTCGCAAGCCAGTGCATTAAGGTGTCATAGGATGTGTGGCCTGCTGTCCCTGATCAAGTCAAGGGGCCACGACCTCGTGTGAGCCTAGCGGTGAATTTGGTTGTGATTGTGCAAGGGGGGCCGTGCTTTCTATGGTGTCCCTTAGGAAGCTGGTAAACACCCTTAAAAGTGAGACAGACCCCTGTGTAGTTCCACAGCGGGCCTTTGGTCTGTTTTGCGACGCACCGTCTAGACACCTGTGCTAATCCTAAGGTATATTAAGGAATACCAAGTTAAACGGTAAAGGTTAGCACCTCTAAGGCGCAACCCCTACTGGATGGTTGCAGGCCAGCGCAACCTGGCTGCGGGCCCACGTCTACCAACGGGGTAAGAGTTTAAGGGGTTATGCACGCCTCAGGGAAATTACTCCGGTGGGATGGCGGGGGATACGAGTCGAGTCATTTGGTCGTCCTGATTGAACGCTTATCAGGAGAAAACCTATCGTTGCGTAACCAACGAAGGGTACTATCGCTAAAATAACAATGCGATGGGCCGTAGATCTGGCTCGATCAACCAGACTATGGTGGGCCAGGATGGAGACCCAGCATTTCTGTACTATACTGCAAAAAGAGCTGAGAGGGGATTTAAGTATACGTATATACGTATGTTTGATCGTGAGAATTTTGTGAGGGGGGCGAGAGTGCCTTCTGATGTCTCGTCCAAGGCCCGCGTCCCTGAGTATGACTCTGCTTACGAGAAAGAGTCTGAGAGGGGCACTCAACGAGGGGCCGACGTTTGTCTAGGGCGAAGGGGAGAGGAAGGTTTGAGGTGGCCTTTGGAACTTATGCTGTAGTATTGATGGGTAATACACCGGCGTCCTAGCGTCAGGACAATGGAAACCCAGGATGAAACCCTGGCACCATATAGTTATGTCGACACAGATTGTTGGAGGCCTCAACCCTGAGTCTGTCGGCTAATCAGATTGGTTCCATTCTCGTCAGCATTTGGAGTGTGGATGAATTTATAGCCTTCTGATTTAGCGTAGCGACGGGGACGTCGCTTAATGTAGTCCGGCAGGCTGTCGGCGCGAATACCCTTACAAGGGTATCCGCCCTAGTTTTTGCAGATGACAGGAGCAATGGGTGTGGTTTAAATAAGCCGTGCGGGGGGCGGCCGTGTACGGGATCCGTCCTGACTAAGTTAGGGGGTATGTGGGCACGGAATATTAAGGCGCGTGTGTGATTTTTTTGATTGAGTGGGCGGCCGGTGTAGTAGGCCGACCCGGATCGTGCCTAGTTGTCTTAGGCTTGCGCTTAGCCTTATAGATTATGGTGTTGGACTATTGCCGCAGAGGTGCAGGGATCAAGCCCGGCGGGCGTTGGCGCAGCAATGGCGGAGTGTCAAAGAGAATTGAGGGGGTTGAGGGCCCGATGGGGCTATCCCCCCCTCGGTTTTGTTGATAGGCACGATGGTAGACCCGGTCCACGGGACCGGTGGGGCTTTAGCAGTCCCCGGAACCTGGTAAGAGGTTTTTGTTATATTATTTTATTCTATTTTGGTTATTTTATCTTAAATTTTATTTACGATTTTTCTACTATTCGCGGTCCCGTTTTGGTCTGAGGCGCGGTACCGCGGCCGGTTGTGCGAGTTTTGAAGGACCGTGGGGTGGGATACCGTTGAGGCCGGATCCTCGGGACATCCATTAGCAGGGAGGTGGTTCGTCGGGGCCGCTGTGCGCAGGGGGTGGCGCAAGAAAGGCCAGGATGAACCCGGATGCCGAAAAGGCCACATGCGCGCGACAGGCAAAAAGGGGCGGCGTCCGCACCCCTCCTCTGCGAGCAGGCCGTTTGGCCTTTGGTAACGCTACGGGGTACTACCCCGGCCCGATTGCTCGGGCGTCCGCAGAGGTTGGAGCGAAAGGGAGGAGGAGGCGTGGCCTATCCGGATCTAGTCGAAAAAAGGGGCCGGGCTCGCCTGAGGTGTGCCAAGGGAAGGAGAATTCGGAGACCCTGCGGCGGGGGCTGACGGTTAGCGGTCGGGCCTTCGGGACAGCCGCTAGGAGCCGAGTACTAAGGAGTAGAGTAGTATCGCCCCGGTGGACGGGTGGGGCGTATAAAGCAGGGGCGGTCCGACAGTTGGGCACCTTTTTTTTCGGAAAAAAAAATCGGGCATTGTCGGACCGCACGGTGTCAGGAGATCGGGGTGAAGGCAACATCATTTGGGCAAGGACGGGCGAGGCAGGGCAAGGTGGGTGAACCCTGAGGACTTCCCGGCCAGGTGCATCCGGGCGGAGAGTCGGAGGTGGTGGAGTGACGGGTGCGGGGGCGACGGGCGGTAAGACAGCAACGACCACAGGAACGAGAGTGCGGATGAGCACTAAAGAGTCGGGCGCTGTGGCAACGGCAGGGGAGAATCGGGAAGCGGGCGAACTTGGACGGGGGCGAGCACGAGGTACATTCGGAGAGAGAGCAGAGACGGGCGGGGACGAGCTTGAAGGAGTCAAGGAGGTCTAGCACGCCCAATCTCCATCGGGATCAGACGACGGAGAAGGTAATTCCGGGGTTTTGACCCCGGGCGACCTTCGTGGTGAAGGCGATTCCGAGTAAGAGTTAGAAGTACAGGGGCTGTGGAGAGGACGGCAGGCGCAGGCTATGGCGGAAAGGGTGATGGTAGGGGAAAACGAATCGGGTTCCTACCCGATCCGTGGCAAGGCCGGGAAGGCCAAGTGCTAGGTGGGAAAATTTGGGCGGTGCGAGCGGGATGGCCACAGCGGAGTCGGTGTCAGAACAACGGACTGGCCGACAGAGGTTGTAGGGGGCGCGTCGAGCCATAGCGAAAAGCGGAGAGTTGAAAAAGGGGGGTTTTGGCAAGGCGAGCTTGGCGGTACTATCAGTCTTGAGGTTAGTCATGTAGAATTAGAGTTAGATAGAAGAGGCGTTGCGTGCCGGCGACGGGGAAGGAAGCTGTGGCGAGAGTCGGGATTGGAGGCTTCACCGTTGTTCGAGGAAAGCGGGCTGGGAAAGATCGTACGCACCTGGACGGCTTTGCGCAGAGGTTTCGTTATAGTTTATGCCCGACGGATCGGTAGAAGAGGTGCAGGTTCAGTTTCGATGTCGGAAGCCCGCCTGTTGGCCGGCGCGGCTTCGAGGTTGGCGGCTTACTGACCAGCGTGAGGGAGCCGTGGTGTTGAAAACTTGCCTATGTGCCAAGGCACCGCTAGTCCATCGATGGGAGAAGCTTGCTTGTTCCCTACACGTATGGCTGGACGACGAGGTATATGCCCATGCCTTAGTTGAGGGTTCATTTGACTTGGCGCATTCCCGTCAGCAGGGATAGTGCGGGGCCAGCCACGGGGTGGGCGCTGTTGCTGCTTTGCCCGCCGGCAGGGTGCTTGCTGAAGCTGGATGCGATACATGGGTGCTCCGCGCTACTGCATCTTGCTGTGCTTGCTCTGGGCACCTGGTACATTTA